GGCCGGGAGTTTGAAAGGTTGAGTCAGTTAACAAGATGGGGTGGATGGCCCAAGGTGGGATGGATGGCCCAAGGTGGCGTAGATGACCGAGAGTTTGAAAGGTTGGGTCAGCTAACAAGATGGGGTGGATGGCTGGCTTAGGGTAATGATGGCCGGTTAGACCTAGTTAGGTTAGGATTAGGTTGATCAGAGCCGAGAGATTCGATTGGCCTGATGAGATCACGTGAGCAGACACGCGCACGTCACGTGGAAGTGTGTGCACCTGTGCAGACGTTGTTAAATGTAAAAATAAATAGGTGTTGGAGTGGCTCAAATATGTCTAGAGAGGCTTGTTATTTTTTTTTTAATTAACTCAAGTTGCCTAAAAACAACTTTAAAACAGAAAACAGGTTTAAGATTTATTTATGGACGGGTTTATCAGTTAGGAATCTTTTGGATGCGCGGGAATTTTATTTATTTCTTCGGTAGATGAATGGACTTAGGAATTGCGTCCCTTTGGTAATTTGGCGCCCTTGAGAGTTACGTCCCATAATTATGGGCGACCTGAAGAGCAGAATTATTTCTTCAAAAACAGGATTTTGTCAACAGTCGCGTCATTCAGTCGTCCGTCAAGATGTGTCAGTCGTCTGTCAAGCTGTGTCAGTCGTCTGTCAAGCTTTGTCATCTGTCAAGTTGTGTCAGTCGTCTGTCAAGCTTTGTCTGTCGTCTGTCAAACTGTCAGTCTGTCAAACTGTCAGTCGTCTGTCAAAATGTGTCAGTCGTCTGTCACACGTTGTCAGTCATCTGTCAAGCTGTGTCAGTCGTCTGTCAAACTGTGTCAGTCTGTCAAACTGTGTCAGTCATCTGTCAAGCTGTGTCAGTCGTCTGTCAAACTGTGTCAGTCATCTGTCAAGCTGACTGTTGTTTGACATATTACAGCAAATTTCAACTCATCATCAAATATGAACTTCAGTCTTTCCCACACATCCCTTCATGCCCCCCTCCCCCCCCTTTAATTCCCCCCCCCCCCCCCCCGCCCTTTAATTCCCCCCCCCCCCCTCCCGCATTCACTTCTAAATCATTTCTGAAAAAGGTAAATTAAAAACTTGAATGACTTTGATTAAAGTGTTGCGAACAAACGAACCAATTGCTTTCAGTAACAGTGTGTCGAGCGAGTCAATACACGTCATTAGTTAAGACGTGACCACTTAGCTAATGAGTAATTTGAATTCCAATGTAAACTAGTTCTTGTATATTTGACAGCCAGCTCAGGATGGGGTTAGTATCACGTGATGCATGTTGGCACTTTTTTCTATCGTATTCTTGGTTTTATTTATCGTATACATATTTGTTTTTTCAATATCGCTTTATGTGTAAAGGCAATTTATTTAAAACCACTGTGCAGTTATTATTTGATGTGTGTGATGTCGTGATTATAACGCCACTCGCTACGTTGTTTGGTGTGATCTAAATATTTGTTTAATTAGTCACTTGCTTTCTTCTTTACTGTTAATCAGATATTTAAGGTCATAACGTTTTTTAGCGTACTTGTTTGATATCATAGTTATATTTGGTTGTACGTCATTGGCTTTCTTGTGTGATTTCAACGTGTAGTGACGATGCTGTATCACATCGTATCTTCGTCACTATACAGGGTATACTGTGTGACTTGCGTGAGCCTGTAGGTCACGTGGGTCAGCGCTCACCCTGATAACCTACATGTTGTTGTTTTTTTTTACTTTATGTCTGTCACGTGAAAGTTGAATTCAAAACTTTTTTCCACTTCGTGTCGTGTGCAATAAATGTGGTGTCGTGTGCAATAAATGTGGTGTCGTGTGCAATAAATGTGGTGTCGTGTGCAATAAATGTGGTGTCGTGTGCAATAAATGTGGTGTTGTGTGCAATATGGTGTCGTGTGCTATAATTGTGGTGTCGTGTGCAATATATGTGGTGTTGTGTGCAATATGGTGTCGTGTGCAATAAATGTGGTGTCATGTGCAATAAATGTGGTGTCGTGTGCTATAAATGGGGTGTCGTGTGCAATAAATGTGGTGTCATGTGCAATAAATGTGGTGTCATGTGCAATAAATGCGGTGTCGTGTGCTATAAATGGGGTGTCGTGTGCAATAAATGTGGTGTCGTGTGCTATAAATGTGCGCAATAAATGTGGTGTCATGCGCAAGAAAAGTGGTGCTGTGTGCAATATGGTGTCGTGTGCAGTAAATTAATGTGGTTTATATATTGCTTTAATTGCTTTGATGGTCGTTAGCTCGTCATAGTGTTTTGGTATTGTCGTCACGTAGCCTACTTTATCCCAAACACATGTTTGTGATTTATTTTAATCATCTGCACACCATGTATCTAAAACACCACATTACTTATCCTAAACACAGGTCCACCACGTTACATATAATCCCAACCACCATGTAACATATGCTATAGTACAATTGTACCCAAGCTTTGTAATTTCTTTAAATTTCATCCGATGTGTTTAATTTTTTGCTTAGCTGATAGTTCAACAATAACCGTTATTTTTACATAACTTTCAAACAATTCAGTAGATCTTACACGTACCAGTTAAAAATAAAATATCCCGTGTTTGTACCCACCAAGTCAGCATAGTGTTGCAGTTGGTGCTAATGTTTATTTACTTCGTGCTGTGCTACAATAAAGTCTTGCAACTTACCTGTTCATAATTTACCGCCTTCGTCTCGTTTTGCCCCCCCCCCCCCCCCTTTCCTTTCCCCCAACCTAACTCTAACCTGTTTAGAATTGACTACCGCCTTAGTTTTCTTCTGAACCCCTACATTGTATACCTCAACGTGTTCATAATTTACGACTGCCTCAGCGTTTTGAAGCCCTCCACCCGTAGCCCTTAGCTTTGAGTTCAAGTGGCATTTCGTTGGCCGTTTTATCATTCATTCTGGCAAGTGACAGGTCGTACATTATCTGGCCGACAGGGTTTAAAAACCTGGCCAGTTTATGGCTTGTTTATGCCCTGAGAGAGATATAAACAAAACCAGTTTAAGTCGGAGCAGTAATTTCCCTACACACGCAACATGGGAATCAATTATTCACCGGAGTCTGCCCAGCATCCATTTTATTCACTGTTTAGTTCTTAAACGTACGAGGGTTATTTCCCATGTTATCGGTTTTCATAGTAAAGATATAGAACTGCTCCTAACCTGCTGACTTGCAAAAAAAAAAAAAAAGAAATTAAATCTTCTCCTTTACCCATGCTCAAATCTGCATTTATTTTTTACAGTTTATTTAAAAAAAAAAAACAAGTATTCTTTTACAGACAAAAATTTTCCGAAATTACCCATTTTGTTTTCTTAACTCCTCCATTCTAGCCCCCACCCTATCTCCCTTTACCACCCCCTCATCATCACATACCCCCAACCCAGCCCGGTGAAAAATGACTAGCATCATGACGTGAAACGTATTCAGTGACCCAAAGCTCTCTCATGTACTATCCCAGTGACCCAACCGACTCCAACTTTTTTAGTTTACTGCCGGCTGCTCGATAAACTGATATTGATAAAGTCGGCCAGACCACCATCTTGTTCCGGCGTGTCTCGTTTAACGACGTTTGATTCGTTTAACGTCGCACAATGGGGATCATGATCGAGGTCCCTGGTGCGATTTATTTTACAGCTATCCATTAGGTCGGGACTTTGGTATGGGTTGCAGTTTAAGGGTAGTGAATCTTGGAGCGTCTAGTGTTGGTGAGTCCGCTGACTCCTGGAGCGTCTAGTGTTGGTGAGTCCGCTGACTCCTGGAACGTCTAGTGTTGGTGAGTCCGCTGACTCCTGGAGCGTCTAGTGTTGGTGAGTCCGCTGACTCCTGGAGCGTCTAGTGTTGGTGAGTCCGCTGACTCCTGGAGCGTCTAGTATTGGTGAGTCCGCTGACTCCTGGAGCGTCTAGTGTTGGTGAGTCAATGACTGGAGCATCTAGTGTTGGTGAGTCCGCTGACTCCTGGAGCGTCTAGTGTTGGTGAGTCCGCTGACTCCTGGAGCGTCTAGTGTTGGTGAGTCCGCTGACTCCTGGAGCGTCTAGTGTTGGTGAGTCAATGACTGGAGCGTCTAGTGTTGGTGAGTCCGCTGACTCCTGGAGCGTCTAGTGTTGGTGAGTCCGCTGACTCCTGGAGCGTCTAGTGTTGGTGAGTCCGCTGACTCCTGGAGCGTCTAGTGTTGGTGAGTCCGCTGACTCCTGGAGCGTCTAGTGTTGGTGAGTCCGCTGACTCCTGGATCATCTAGTGTTGGTGAGTCAGCTGACTCCCGGATCATCTAGTGTTGGTGAGTCAATGACTCCTGGAGATTCTAGTGTTCGTTAGTCAGCTGACTCTTGGAGCGTCTAGTGTTGGCGAGTCAATGACTCCTGGACCATCTAGTGTTGGTGAGTCTTTAGTCGCTGACGTATGGAGCATGTAATCCATCAGTTGACTCTCGACCCCCTCAGTGCTAATCGATCAAAGAGGTGCATCAGTCACCAATCACAATAGCTAAATGTACAGTAGTAACCTGTCTTAAACTTAATTATTGTATAATATACTAGCTGTTGACGAGTACTACGAGATAGTACTACGGTCCTTTGGTTATTTTCAATTGATTTTGGGCAATTTTAGGCTAATATTTTGGGAAATTTAAGGCTAATATTTTGGGAAATTTAGTTATTTTATTACGAAAATATTTGTTTCTTTTTTTTTTTTTTTTTTGAGTCCGTGTTTTATTTAATAATAAGAATTTAATAAACATTAATTTTGGTGGGATAATTTTTCCAAGCCATGTTAGGGATATTCCCAGATTTTAACACGACTGACGGTAACAATGTGTCGGCCTATAGTGAGAAGAGACCTTTGACCTATAGATGAGTGGGTCGGGGTTGAGGCGGTGTTGACTTGACCTTGTGTACTCACGCACGCCTGGGGTGACCGAGCGCTGTACTCTCGCCCCCCCCCCCCCCCCCCACCCTTTACAGCTGCGGGCTTTTCCAAACTAGGTTGTCGCCATCTGACAAAAATGTCCGTTCTGAAATTGTTACGTGTGTCGCCATCTTTGTTTGCACGCCGTACAGACTGGGGCGAGTGCCCTGAGACATGCGCCCCGCGCCCCAGTAGAGTGTTTGCCCAGTTCTCAAGTGGGGTTCGCGCCCCGCGCCCCAGTAGAGTGTTTGCCCAGTTCTCAAGTGGGGTTCGCGCCCCGCGCCCCAGTAGAGTGTTGGCCCAGTTCTCAAGTGGAGTGTGCGCCCCGCGCCCCAGTAGAGTGTTTGCCCAGTTCTCAAGTGGAGTGTGCGCCCCGCGCCCCAGTAGAGTGTTTGCCCAGTTCTCAAGTGGGGTTCGCGCCCCGCGCCCCAGTAGAGTGTTGGCCCAGTTCTCAAGTGGAGTGTGCGCCCCGCTCCCCAGTAGAGTGTTGGCCCAGTTCTCAAGTGGAGTGTGCGCCCCGCTCCCCAGTAGAGTGTTGGCCCAGTTCTCAAGTGGAGTGTGCGCCCCGCTCCCCAGTAGAGTGTTGGCCCAGTTCTCAAGTGGAGTGTGCGCCCCGCTCCCCAGTAGAGTGTTGGCCCAGTTCTCAAGTGGGGTGTGCGTCCCGATCACCGAGGGGTCGGCGCCCAGCTACTCCTGGAATATACACCCCGTATACGCTACGCTCTTCGTTAGGTTGTGCGCCCTACCTAGTAAACCACTGACCAAGTAACCCCTCTCTCCCTTTACAGATTTGTTCATTTCCGATGACAATGCAAGAATTTAACTTTTTCAATCAAATTTGATATTTTAAAAAATATGCTTTAAAGATGATTAAATTCAGTAACAGGAGGGGAGATGACCATTACAGTTTTAAAAAAAAAACAAATTCTAAATGCACTAAAAAAAAATTTTTTTAAAAACCACTTGTTAGTGTGAAAAAAATACTTTTTTTATTTTTCACACTGTCTTCTTAAAAAAAAAAACTCCTTTTTGTTGCGTTAAAATATTTCCCACGTTATAAACCTAAGACGAAGACCTGGGTAAAGAAAAAAGTTCATTGTTGACTGGTGTAGGGGAAATTCCTGTGTCTATGGGATCTACTGGACCAGACACAACAACCGGGCTGTGCGCCCCTATCGGTACCATCAGTCAGTGTCAGTCTAAAGAGGAAGTTAAAAGACGAGGGAGGCACCTGACAAACATGTCCTGCTGGTTGGTGGAGTCAGTCATGCGTGACTGCTGGTGTCATTGTCAGTGGCGCGTGACTGTTGGTGTCATTGTCAGTGGTGCGTGACTGTTGGTGTCATTGTCAGTGGCACGTGAATTTTTGACTGGCTCCGCACCACGAGACGTCAGTAGCTCGTGATGTTTTGATGACGTTAGCAGCGCGTGATTTTATTTTCATTGAAACTTGAATTTTTAACGCCGCTACGTCCCATGTGACTTTAGTAGCGCGTGTGACGTCACTTGCTCCTTTGACGTCACGTGTAGTCATGCAAGCTTGGTTCTGCTGTCTGTAATGCATGCTACTGTGGTAGATTGTGTAAACGTAGACAATAGCAAGGGACTGTACTACGGGTTACATACATTGCCGATATTGCTTTACCTTTGATTACTAACACGACCAAGTCACTTTTTTTCTTTGAGCTAGTTTTCAGCTAGGGTAAAAAAAAACATCAGGGTGGTGATGTAGGACAAACACATTTGCTTTGTTGGTTATTGTTACTGGTCAGTTGTAGGTTAGATTAGAATAGCTTAGAATAGTCCAGAACGTAGGGGAGAGGTGTGTGTGTGAGCAGTGTTTCTTCCAGACTTTTTTCTCCAGGCGGAGGGGGGGGGGGGCGGACACTGGTAAAAGTACATGTTTTCTATATAAATTCTATTTCGGTCGGAATGCCTGGAAGAAACTCTGTGTGTGAGTTGAGTTAACTCCGTGGTGTTTAGGTATTGTTATCCCAAGGTTGAGTGCGGGTATAAAAGCTGGAGTGAACTATTGTAAGGGGTTTTTAGTTAGTAACGGCGATGGTTGAGGGCTACTGTGTAACATGTAAAGATGAGAACAAATAAAGTATTGAACAATCTCTTGGATTTTCTGCATTGAATAAAACACAGACGTAACAGTTATTGCCTATTATTTAACTCAGCTTTAAAAACAGTTATTAAATATTAACGGAAGAAATTGTTTATTATCAGTTCAGTGAGCTGCTCCGGTTAAAGACGTTATTAGGTGTCGATGTGATCTATATATAGCTTGCACCGTCCTTAGTGTTTCTTTCAGACATTTTGTCCAGGGGGGGGGGGGAGGGAGGCGTATATTAATTTTTCCAGGGGGGGGCGGTCTGACACAAGTTATATCCTTGTAAAAAATATTTTCCTACCAGGGGTGAGGGGTCATTTAGGTGCCGTTGAATCTATAAATAATTTCGTCGTATCTTACAAGTCATCTCCAAGATGTGAAGTGGAGACAGCAGTAACCCGGATGTCTAATTGCGTCCTTGACCTTTGAACCCCGCGGTTGACCTTTCCACACTTAGTTTTGCAATAAATTTATTGAGCAATGGTAAAAATAAAACTGGGTAACTCAGTGCGGTCATGGTACCATCCTACCATCATATAATGGCTGGTACCATCCTACATAATATAACAGCTGGTACCATCTTACCATCATGTAATGGCTGGTACCATCCTAACATCTTGTAGTGGCTGGTACCATCCTACCATCATGTAATGGCTTGTACCATCCTACCATCATGTAGTGGCTGCTACCATCCTACCATCATGTAGTGGCTGGTACCATCATGTAATAGCTGGTACCATCACTACCATCATGTAATAGCTGGTACCATCACTACCATCATGTAATGGCTGGTACTATCTTACCATCATATAATGGCTGGTACCATCCTACCATCATGTAATGGCTGGTACCAACAGTCACACACCAACCTTTGATGCATGACTGACACCACCAACCAGCAGCACAGGTGTATCAGGTACCTTCTCACGCCTTTAAAACTTCCCCTTTAGTTTGACAGTGACTGATGATAACAAACCAACCGCCATTGTATCAAGGCCAAAGTTCAAGGTCTAACATTACAACATGTCTGGTGATGAAAGAAATTCCCCTGTGATCAAATTTCAAAACCTGGCGTCATTAATTGGCTCCTGTCATTAATTGGCTCCTGTCATTAGTTGGCGCTTGTCATTAGTTGGCACCTGTAATTAGCCAAATGCTTGCATAAGAGCAGGATTGTATTTTTTATCAGCCTCCAGAAATGGATCCTCCAAAGAAATAGTTTTGCTTCCTACTTATTAGCATGTGGAATGGCCTGGTGGGGTGGTAGATCGCCCAGCTTTCAACCTGAAGGTCTTGAGTTCGGATCTTGGACAAGTCTGTTTAAGTCCCAACTCTGATGGGTACCGGACTCATTTAGGAAAAGTAACGGTGTATGGGCTCAGTGTTGACTACAAGATCCCTTCAAGAAACATGACCTCTACTTTATCCGCCTGATGGATCATCAGACATGACAACACCAGTGGTATTTGAAACACTCCATCGTTGTTTGGTGGGTGGTAAACCTTTTGTGTGGTCAATTAACATGACCTTCTGCTTTATGACTCGACCTCCCCCTTTCAACTACGACATGATACCCCACCCCCAGGCTTTGGCCTACGTGACTCGCTCCGCAGGACAAAACCATGCAGCACTTAATGCGTACCATGTGCCACTTGTACAGCTTCACACAAAAATTGATCTAATTCAAGTGTACATGGGGGTGGGGATCTAAAGGGAATTCCCATCCCTCCCACCCTCTCACACTAAACTTATATTTATAGGTTATGTGAATGTAGCGTGTTGTCTCACCACTCCCCCACCATCCACCACCTTACACACTAACATTGGTAGTCTACCCCTACCTCCCCTACCTCCCTCTTACTCCTAATATGTTTGTAATATTACATGGAATGGAATCCGCCTCAAATATATTTTAAATGAAAGTTATTGTGTAGTTGATGTTGACATTTGAAATGTCGCTTTGTTTGAAATGTCATTTTGTTTACTTGCCAGATGACATGTGTACAAAGTAAGTTGACATCTGTGATGTCTGACATCTTTCATCTCTGCATGTGTTTAGCACTGGTGCAGTTACGTACTCGTTCTCTTGATTTAACTATATATATCATCCTTCTCTCACCTGTATATCATCCTTCTCTCACCTGTATATCATCCTTGTCTCACCTGTATATCATACTCTCACCTGTTTATCATTCTCTCACCTGTATATCATCCTTCTCTCACATGTATATCAACCTTCTCTCACCTGTTTATCATCCTTCTCTCACCTGTATACCACCCTTCTCTCACCTGTATATCATCCTTCTCTCACCTGTATATCATACTTCTCTCACCTGTATATCATCCTTCTCTCACCTGTATATCATCCTTCTCTCACCTGTATACCACCCTTCTCTCACCTGTATATCATCCTTCTCTCACCTGTATATCACCCTTCTCTCACCTGTATATCACCCTTCTTTCACCTGTATATCATACTTCTCTCACCTGTATATCATCCTTCTCTCACCTGTATATCATCCTTCTCTCACCTGTATACCACCCTTCTCTCACCTGTATATCATCCTTCTCTCACCTGTATATCACCCTTCTCTCACCTGTATATCATCCTTCTCTCACCTGTATATCATCCTTCTCTCACCTGTATATCATCCTTCTCTCACCTGTATATCATACTCTCACCTGTTTATCATTCTCTCACCTGTATATCATCCTTCTCTCACCTGTATTTCATCCTTCTCTCACCTGTATATCATCCTTCTCTCACCTGTATATCATCCTTCTCTCACCTTCTCTCACCTGTCTATCATCCTTTTCTCACAATTTTGGATGACATTTTATTCTGTTTGCTTTCTACTTATAATTTTATATTATTTTTTGGGTATTTGACGTTTTTTATTGCATGAAAGTTTTTATGAATTTCTATTTTTCTGTTTTCTTTTTAGAGCATTGATTACCACAGTGATATCTCAAAACACGAGTCTTTCGTGTGATGTAATTAAATATAGGCCTAATTATTATTCATTAAATATTAAAATAGAAATTTACCACGGAAAATGAAAATAAAATGTTTATGTAAAATGTGGACCAAATTAAATTGTTTTCTAGATTTATTTCATTTAATTAATGATAAACAAAGTTGCATGGTGACCTTATTATTATCCTATCCTTCTAACTTTAATCCATCAATTATTGTTTTTAATGCCCTTACACAACCAATCACCAACTAATTGTCCTATATTCCCTATAATGTCCTTTAAAAAACTAATTGTCCTATATTCCCTATAATGTCCTTTAAAAAACTAAATGTCCTGTATTCCCTATAATGTCCTATAAAAAACTAAATGTCCTACCTATTTTAAAAAGCCACACTAAACTACCTTGTTGCTCTGAAATTTAAACAGCACAATTAACACAATTTGCTCACTTGTTTTGTTTGAACTAGTCATAGTTCATAAGTCATCCCTTATCAGTCACAAATTCCCTGGCCATCAGTCAGTCATAAGTCATCTAACACCAGTCATAAGTCAACCATCATCAGTTATGCTTCAGTTTGTTCAAATCTCCCCCCCCCCCCCTCCAATGTTTTGGAACTAATAAAATTAACTTTCAAAAATTAATTTAGTTTTAGTCCTGGGCTACAAGTTGAATTCTCACAACTCAAAAGAACATTAATTAAATTTAGTTCATCACACTAATTAATCTTGAACCAATTAACCATCCATTCAGCAACATTTATTTCTTCAAAAGCAAAATGCAGTCATATAATTTCTCTAATTTCTAAAACATGGTAAATTTAGATATAATTTGTCTTATTTCTAAAACATGGTGGATTTAGATATAATTTGTCTTACTTCTAAAACACAGTGGATTTACATATAATTTGTCTTATTTCTAAAACACAGTGAATTTAGATATAATTTGTCTTATTTCTAAAACATGGTTAATTTAGATATAATTTGTCTCATTTCTAAAACATGGTTAATTTAGATATAATTTGTCTTACTTCTAAAACATGGTAAATTTAGATATAATTTGTCTTATTTCTAAAACATGGTAAATTTAGATATAATTTGTCTTACTTCTAAAACACAGTGGATTTAGATATAATTTGTCTTATTTCTAAAATACAGTGGATTTAGATATAATTTGTCTTATTTCTAAAACATGGTTAATTTAGATATAATTTGTCTTACTTCTAAAACATGGTAAATTTAGATATAATTTGTCTTATTTCTAAAACATGGTAAATTTAGATATAATTTGTCTTACTTCTAAAACACAGTGGATTTAGATATAATTTGTCTTATTTCTAAAATACAGTGGATTTAGATATAATTTGTCTTATTTCTAAAACATGGTGAATTTAGATTTCAGTTGGTTTTTCAGTTCAAACGGTCGAGGTCAAGGCCGAAGTCTGCACACGAGGATGTCGGCCGTGTTCTTCCATAAAGGCATCTCTCGCCTGCACTCGGAGGAGCTGCTGCTTCAGGAGGGTGGGGACGGCAGCTTCCTCGTTAGGGACAGCGAATCTGTGGTGGGGGCCTACGTCTTGTGTTTACTGTAAGTAGGGGGGGGGGGCTACGTCTTGTGTTTGCTGTAAGTAGGGGGGGGGGGGGGGGCTACGTCTTGTGTTTGCTGTAAGTAGGTGGGGCTTATGTCTTGTGTTTACTGTAAGTAGGGGGGGGGGGGCTACGTCTTGTGTTTGCTGTAAGTAGGGGGGGGGGGGGGCTACGTCTTGTGTTTGCTGTAAGTAGGGGTGGGGGGGGGGCTACATCTTGTGTTTGCTGTAAGTAGGGGTGGGGGGGCTACATCTTGTGGTAGCTGTAAGTAGGTGGGGCTTATGTCTTGTGTTTACTGTAAGTAGGTGGGGCTTATGTCTTGTGTTTACTGTAAGTAGGGGGGGCTACGTCTTGTGTTTACTGTAAGTAGGGGGGGCTACGTCTTGTGTTTACTGTAAGTAGTGGGGCTACGTCTTGTGTTTGCTGTAATGGGGGGGGGGGGCATATGTTAACAGTTTGTAAATAAAGCAGGTTTCAAATTACACAGAGATCTCCTTCAGTTAGAAAACATGTGGCACACAGGTTAAGTTGAGAAACTCTAGATCATTGCAAAACTAAACAGTTGTTCGTTTCTTAATATTACACAAAATACATACAGCACAAAAAATATAACTGTTAACATATGCCCCCCCCCCCATTACAGCAAACACAAGACGTAGCCCCACTACTTACAGTAAACACAAGACATAAGCCCCACCTACTTACAGTAAACACAAGACATAAGCCCCACCTACTTACAGCTACCACAAGATGTAGCCCCCCCACCCCTACTTACAGCAAACACAAGATGTAGCCCCCCCACCCCTACTTACAGCAAACACAAGACGTAGCCCCCCCCCCCCTACTTACAGCAAACACAAGACTGTTTAGTTTTGCAATGATCTAGAGTTTCTCAACTTAACCTGTGTGCCACATGTTTTCTAACTGAAAGAGATCTCTGTGTAATTTGAAACCTGCTTTATTTACAAATTCAACAACTGCTTTATTTACAAATTCAACAACAGCAAAACTCCAAACTAATTGTAAAAAAAACTGTGCTAGAAAAACTTTCTCCTGGAGAAATTCAATTTCATTTTTTTTTTTACATGCGCTACCTAAAAACTGTCTACAGGTATCAGAACAGGGTGCATCAGTACAGGATTTTACCTGACAAAGATGGACGCATTTCAGTGCAGGTAACTGGGGTTTTGTTTATTCTCCACCCACACACGCACCACACACACATACACACATGCACACAAACACACACAGACATACACACACACACAGAGGGTTACACACTCTAACATTAAATATAGCTGATGCAGGAAATAACATGATTTGAACATTTCAAGGAAATGGGATAGGTATGTGACTGTATGGTGTGCGTCTATCTAGGTGTGCGTCTGTCTAGGTTTGCGTCTGTCTAGGTGTGCGTCTGTCTAGGTGTGCGTCTGTCTAGGTGTGCGTCTGTCTAGGTGTGCGTCTGTCTAGGTGTGCGTCTGTCTAGGTGTGCGTCTGTCTAGGTGTGCGTCTGTCCAGGTGTAGATGTGCATCTGTCTAGGTGTGCATCTGTCTAGATGTGCATCTGTCTAGATGTGCATCTGTCTAGGTGTGCATCTGTCTAGGTGTGCATCTGTTTAGGTGTTTGCCTGTCTAGGTGTGCATGTATCTGTCTGTGGTTGTCTTTCTATGTGGCCCTTTGTTTTTTTTTATGTGTGCGTGTTTTGTCATGTGTCTATGTTTGTGCTATGGTGTGTCTTTATCGATGTGTGTATGTGTGTGCATGTCTGTATGTAAATGTACATGCATGTGTGTGTGTGTGTGAATGCCTTATTGCTTGTCCCACCCACACAACAAACGAGCTTGATGATACTGTACTATCTTAAAGTGTCTTCTGAGATAAAAATAGTAACAAAGGTAAACAAAACATCCTGTCAACAGAATAGACTGTAAATAACAGGTGGGGTGGGTGGGGGGTGGCCAGGACTGGGGGTGTGGGGGTAGTGAGGTTGTCCAACACACTGTTGTCCACATTATTTGTTCTGTAGACATCCAGCAGTTATTGTCTTTTGGTGAGATCCTAGTCTGTGGATATGTTGTCTGATGCTGTATGCATGTGGATATGGTGTCTGACACTGTATGCATGTGGATATGGTGTCTGATGCTGTATGCATGTGGATATGGTGTCTGATGCTGTATGCATGTGGATATGGTGTCTGATGCTGTATGCATGTGGATATGTTGTCTGATGCTGTATGCATGTGGATATGGTGTCTGACACTGTATGCATGTGGATATGGTGTCTGATGCTGTATGCATGTGGATATGGTGTCTGATGCTGTATGCATGTGGATATGGTGTCTGACACTGTATGCATGTGGATATGGTGTCTGATGCTGTATGCATGTGGATATGGTGTCTGACACTGTATGCATGTGGATATGGTGTCTGATGCTGTATGCATGTGGATATGGTGTCTGACACTGTATGCATGTGGATATGGTGTCTGACACTGTATGTGTGCGGATATGGTGTCTGACACTGTATGCATGTGGATATGGTGTCTGACACTGTGAATCTTCTATGTCCAGTCTGTATGTGTGAATACGTTGTCTGACTGAATTTCCTATGTCCAGTCTGACACTGTATGTGTGTGAATACGTTGTCTGACTGAATTTCCTATGTCCAGTCTGACACTGTATGTGTGTGAATACGTTGTCTGACCCTGTATGTGTGTGAATACATTGTCTGACTGAATTTCCTATGTCCAGTCTGACACTGTATGTGTGTGAATACATTGTCTGACCCTGTATGTGTGTGAATACATTGTCTGACTGAATTTCCTATGTCCAGTCTGACACTGTATGTGTGTGAATACGTTGTCTAACCCTGTATGTATGTGTATATGTTGTCTGACTGTGAATCTCCTATGTTCAGTCTGTATGTGTGTGGTTACATTGTCTGACCCTGTATGTGTGTGAATACGTCTGACACTGTATGTGTGTGAATACGTCTGACTCTGTATGTGTGTGATTACGTTGTCTGACCCTGTATGTGTGTCCAGTCTGAAGGTGACATGCAGCCCCCCAGCTACAATGACCTGCCCAGTCTGATCAACTCCTACATCAACAAGGGAGAGAAGAATGGCCTGGTCTGTGCCCTCAAGAAACCCATCTCACCTGAGGGGGCGGAAGTTCCGGAGGGAGATTCAGGTAGGTCTGGAACCATTTTTATCACAGGTCATTGTCCTCATATCCCCATGTTTACTTTATCTACTCTGGTCAATAAGGATTTTTATTCGTAAGCAAACAGGTAAACTCTACTTCATCTGTTTAATGGAAACTTCTTCTGTCCTTGAGGTCAGATTTTGTAGACATCTGTGTTTTATATAGAATTTTGATTTAATTTTACCTGGACACTGTTTTAATTTTACCTAGTTATTTGGGTTTTAATTTAACCTGGCCATTTGGCTTTAATTTTACCTATTTATTTGGTTTTTATTTTACTTGGTTATTTGGTTTTAATTTTACCTGGTTATTTGGTTATTTTACTTGGTTATTAGGCTCTTAATTTCACCTGGCTACTTGGTTTTAATTTTGCCTGGACACTTTATTTTAATTTTACCTGGCCACTTTATTTTAATTTTACCTGTTTATTTGGTTTTAATTCTACCTGGACAATTGGTTTTAATTTAACCTGGTCGCTTGTTACAGAGGACGACGACTTTGACGACACAAAACACACCCCTGACACAGATGAGAGGGGCGGAGCTTCCAGAACCTTCAAGTTTGGCGTGCTTAACAACTTTGCCAGGCTGGATCTATCTAGGTTAGATTTGTTTATCCATTTGGTTTACTTTGGCATGAAAATCTGGCAAGTGCCCACCTGCGGTTGAATAAAAAAATTGAAGTAACAGGAAATGGGAAGGTGCTGCACAGCTTGAAAGCTGTTGGATTTTATCTTGAGAATTCTGGTACGGTGAACCTATATTAATTGTGGCATTTTATTTATTATATATAAATTATTGCTTATAATTATTATTCAATAATATTGCATACCATAACAGAGTTGTTTGTTTTTTCACTTTTTGTTGTACATAACTTCACTCTTAAGTTTTCAATATGATTTTTCATAATTTTTAATAATCTGTTCTTCATTAAAACTGTTTATCTCTAGTATTCTCTGTTAATCATCTTAGAAAACATTCCCTTAATCCTTATCCTAGCCATAGGTGTTTTAGTGGTTTGATTTTAGGCATGTAACTTATCAAAGCTTAAAAATGTAATCCTTTGATCTAACTTATCAAATCTTTGATGAGATAAACAAAGAAAAGGTTTTAAAAAAATATTTTTCAAAGATTGTCATGGCCTTTTCAAAATAAATTTGTGTGTTTGAGAAAGTTTTATTCCACCTCTGTCTGATGTTCCAGTTGCGATGGGGAGTTTGTGGACGCCATGAAGACATACGTGGACGAGGGTTTGGATAAAGACGCCAGGAACCTGGGCATGGAGGGCGGCAGGTACCCAATGCCTGAGTTCCAGAAACTTCTTGCCACCGCAGGGAAGGGATTACAGAGGTAGGTGTGGTCAGTGGATAGGTCAGCCTGCTGGTAGAGTAAGATACACGTGTTAAAAAACTGTAATTGTAAGGTTAACCTGCTTTAAGTGTAAGACAGACCTGCTAGTACTGTAACTGTAAGGTCCATCTACTGTAAATGTAAGGTCACCCTGCTTGTACTGTAATTTTAAGGTCCACCTTCTAATACTGGATCTGTAAGGTCCACCTGCTAGTACTGTAAGGTCGACCTGCTAATACTGTAAATATAAGGTCCACCTGCTAATACCAAGGTCGAGCTACTAATGGTCTAACTGTGATGTCAACCTACTAAAACTGTAAATGTATGCTCAACCAGCTATTACTGTAAGGTCCACCTACTAATACTGTAAATGTAAAGGTCCACCTGCTAATACTATAAGGTCCAGCTACTAACACTTAAATTGTAAGGTCAGCCTACTAATACTAAAGTCGAGCTACTAATGCTTAAACTGTAAGGTCCACCTGCTAATACTGTAAATGTAAGGTCGACCTACTCCTACTGTAACCATCCACACAGGGAACTGGACGTGTTCCTACTGAAGTTGTCCATGTGTCAGGACATGTTGTTCCAAGAGGACGATGACAAGAGGAGGACCATGACATCTAACCCAAATGACAGGGTCAGTGATGTCATTCAGATATCAAATTGTCCACTTAGGACATTTTAATCCAGTAAAAGTGTCAGTTATTTAATTAAGACATCAAACTCAATCAGTTATTTAATTAAGACATCAAACTCAATCAGTTATTTAATTAAGACATCAAACTCAATCAGTTATTTAATTAAGACATCAAACTCAATCAGTTATTTAATTAAGACATCAAACTCAATCAGCAATTTAATTAAGACATCAAACTCTAATGAACCAATCAGTAATATAATCATAACATCAAGCACCTAGCACCTCCTGTATCTGTACACCAACAGTGACTACCAACACATAACTGACAGAATGTAATTTCATCTATCTTCCAGCTGGGGTCGTACATTGATTTTCTGGCTGGTAAATTAGAGACATGTCGCAGCCAGGTGTTGGCACTAGAGAAAAGGGTAATTATACACCTGTGGTGCTCACCTTTATTCATTAAGTTCTCTTCTATAAATAGTACATGATATGGCAAAAAGTGCAAATCTTTTAATAAGGATTTGTTTTGTCAGATTTGTGTTAAGGACTTTTTAATTTTCTAATGAACTCAGGCTCAAGAGGTGGTCAAGGACAGTTCAAAGGTCAAGGAGGATGAATACACATGTCCAGATGAGGCGACGCCGGGAACTCTGGGCCCACCTTCAACATTCCTGCCCCTTGGGCTGCGTAGGAACAGCAGCATCAGCATTCCATTGTCTACCTTTGAGGTGTGTGTCATATAGGTGATGTTGTAGGCATGTTCAATAGGTGATGTTGTAGGGGTTGTTCAATAGGTGATGTTGTAGGCTTGTTCAGTTGGTGATGTTGTAGGCTTGTGGACTAGGTGATGTTGTAGGCTTGTTCAATAGGTGATGTTGTAGGCTTGTTCAATAGGTGATGTTGTAGGTTTGTTCAATAGGTGATGTTGTAGGTTTGTTCAATAGGTGATGTTGTAGGTTTGTTCAATAGGTGATGTTGTAGGGGTTGTTCAATAGGTGATGTTGTAGGTTTGTTCAATAGGTGATGTTGTAGGCTTGTTCAATAGGTGATGTTGTAGGCTTGTTCAATAGGTGATGTTGTAGGTTTGTTCAATAGGTGATGTTGTTGGCTTGTTCAATAGGTGATGTTGTAGGTTTGTTCAATAGGTGATGTTGTAGGTTTGTTCAATAGGTGATGTTGTAGGCTTGTTCAATAGGTGATGTTGTAGGCTTGTTCAATAGGTGATGTTGTTGGCTTGTTCAATAGGTGATGTTGTTGGCTTGTTCAATAGGTGATGTTGTAGGTTTGTTCAATAGGTGATGTTGTAGTCTTGTTCAATAGGTGATGTTGTAGGCTTGTTCAATAGGTGATGTTGTAGGCTTGTTCAATAGGTGATGTTGTTGGCTTGTTCAATAGGTGATGTTGTTGGCTTGTTCAATAGGTGATGTTGTAGGTTTGTTCAATAGGTGATGTTGTAGGTGTGTTCAATAGGTGATGTTGTAGGCTTGTTCAATAGGTGATGTTGTAGGCTTGTTCAATAGGTGATGTTGTAGGCTTGTGGACTAGGTGATGTTGTTGGCTTGTTCAATAGGTGATGTTGTAGGTTTGTTCAATAGGTGATGTTGTAGTCTTGTTCAATAGGTGATGTTGTAGGTTTGTTCAATAGGTGATGTTGTAGGTTTGTTTAATAGGTGATGTTGTAGGCTTGTTCAATAGGTGATGTTGTTGGCTTGTTCAATAGGTGATGTTGTAGGTTTGTTCAGTAGGTGATGTTGTAGGTTTGTTCAATAGGTGATGTTGTAGGCTTGTTCAATAGTAGATGTTGTAGGTTTGTTCAATAGGTGATGTTGTAGGTTTGTTCAATAGGTGATGTTGTAGGTTTGTTCAATAGGTGATGTTGTAGGCTTGTTCAATAGGTGATGTTGTTGGCTTGTTCAATAGGTGATGTTGTAGGCTTGTTCAATAGGTGATGTTGTTGGCTTGTTCAATAGGTGATGTTGTAGGCTTGTTCAATAGGTGATGTTGTAGGCTTGTTCAATAGGTGATGTTGTAGGCTTGTTTAATAGGTGATGTTGTAGGCTTGTTCAATAGGTGATGTTGTAGGCTTGTTCAATAGGTGATGTTGTAGGTTTGTTCAATAGGTGATGTTGTAGGCTTGTTCAATAGGTGATGTTGTAGGTTTGTTCAATAGGTGATGTTGTAGGTTTGTTCTATAGGTGATGTTGTAGGCTTGTTCTATAGGTTGTCCAACTTTGTGGTGTGTGTCAATAGGTGATGTTGTAGGTTTGTTCAATAGGTGATGTTGTAGGTTTGTTCTATAGGTGATGTTGTAGGCTTGTTCTATAGGTTGTCCAACTTTGTGGTGTGTGTCAATAGGTGATGTTGTAGGTTTGTTCAATAGGTGATGTTGTAGGTTTGTTCAATAGGTGATGTTGTAGGTTTGTTCAATAGGTGATGTTGTAGGTTTGTTCAATAGGTGATGTTGTAGGTTTGTTCAATAGGTGATGTTGTAGGTTTGTTCAATAGGTGATGTTGTAGGTTTGTTCAATAGGTGATGTTGTAGGTTTGTTCAATAGGTGATGTTGTAGGTTTGTTCAATAGGTGATGTTGTAGACTTGTTTAATAGGTGATGTTGTAGGCATGTTCAATAGGTGATGCTGTAAACATGTTGACTAGGTTGTCTACCTTTGAGGTGTGTAAGCTTGGGACTAAGATTATTTTTAGCCTTAGGGTTTAGAAATCCTTTCTCAGTTGCACCAAGGTTGATTAAAAATCTTATTTATATTGTACTTTAAACTGAAAGCCTTTATAAATTGTTTTTTTAAGCCTTTAGAAACATAATGAAATGCGCACAATCACTCCCAGGTGAAAGTTTTAAAATACGGAAAAGCCAACTACAAGCTGAAGTTGACAGTTGACATTCATCAAGGCAGGTTTTTTGCTGTCAAGCCTTCCAAAGACCACCTGGACTCTAATAATATGTTTCCACATGACAAGAGTAAGCTTGCCAGATTTTTTTCACACTGAAAGTCAAATTCATATTTTTATTTTTTTAAGCTTGAATCTGAATTTTACTATTAATTTTAATTTATTTGCACCTTAATCTTTTTGTTGTTAAATAAATACCTGTCTAAATACTTAAAATTATTTGCATTTAAGGAATAAATACTAGTACTATTAAATTTACTTTTTAAAATTTTTTGGTTTCTTTAGCTCTTGTTTAACAATGTATAACTTTGATTAAAAATTTGGTGATCTCAAGCCACTGTAAATATTTAATTGAACTTGAGCCGCTTTAAAATGTTTGGTTTATCCTAAGCCACTGTAAAATGTTTGATTTATCCTAAGCTGCTGTAAAATGTTTGATTTATCCTAAGCCACTGTAAAATGTTTGATTTATCCTGAGCCACTGTAAAATGTTTATTTCATCCTGAGCCACTGTAAAATGTGTTGGTTCCCATCCCCAGTTCTACAGCTGGTGAAGAACACAACAGACAACAGCCGCCTGCATGTGATATTCAGCAACAAGAAGAAATACACGTACCAGTTCCAGAGTGTCTTGGAGAGGGAGAGGTTCTGTCTGCAGATCAGGCAGATGAAGTCTCTACACTCCCAGGAACAGGATGTGGACAACGTGTCCATCTTCATTGGGACTTGGAATATGGGTACGTCATAGTTAGTGTATGGAGTGGGAGGTTGGGGGTGGGGTGTTTGTTCTTTTAAGAATGATGCATTATTTTCTAATTTTAGTGGTGATAGTATATGGTGGTGTGTGTATTTTGTATAACTCCAGTGGTAGCCTATGTGTGTTTATTTTTGTTATTTTTTGTGGTGTATTTTTATTTTGTTATTTTTGATGATGTGCATGCATTTTTTTTGTGGTTTTATTTATTATTTTGTTATTTTTGTGGTATGTTTTATTTTGCTTCTATTGTTTGTTTTTATTGAAGGGTAAAATTTGCTAATCTGTAAAAATATGTCTTTTTTTTAAATACATTTTGTTATGAATTGTGTTATTTTTATCAACCACGAGTGCTAGAGTCTTGCCCTCGGTACTTTCCTTAAAGTGAGTCAGGTACTCATTAGAGCTGGGTGGACTCAAGTACATCCTTCAGTCACAAGTGGGAACCGAGATTTGAACTTGAGACCTTTGGATTATCAGCCGAATGCTCTACTATTTGACCATGCCATCCTATTGCCTTTAAATATGATATATTTAAGATAGATATTTAAGATAATTACAAGTTATGTGAAGAGTGTAATGTGTGACATGTAATTGGTGTCTGTAATGTGTGATGTGTAACTCGTCTGTGTAATGTAGTACATGAAGTGTGTAATGTGTGACGTGTAACTAACTCTTCTTTGTGTCCTCAGGTAAGTCCGCGCCTGTAGAGTCCCTCAAGTTCTGGCTCAAGTGTAACGGTGAGGGCAAAAGTAAAGACCGCACATTGAGTCGGCTGCCACATGACATCTATGTCATCGGCACACAGGAGAGTGGCATGACAGAGAAGGACTGGATCAACACACTCAAGGCTGCCATGAAAGCTGCTCTCAATCTCGATGTTGATCTGGTGAGTTACTGGCCCTGAGCTTTTTATTTAGAGAGTTCAGGGCCTTTGTTTTGATCTAGAGTTCATGGTTTTTGTTTTGATTTAGTTTAGAGGTTTTGTTTATGTAGACAGTTCAAGCACTTGGGTTCTTTTTATCAAGAGTTCAGTGTCTGTTTTAAAACTAGAATGTAGGGCCTTTGTTTTGAGCCAAAGAGTTCAGGGCCTTTGTTTTGAGCTAAAGAGTTCAGGGCCTTTGTTTTGAGCTAAAAAGTTCAGGGCCTTTGTTTTGAGCCAAAGAGTTCAGGGCCTTTGTTTTGAGCCAAAGAGTTCAGGGCCTTTGTTTTGAGCTAAAGAGTTCAGGGCCTTTGTTTTGAGCTAAAGAGTTCAGGGCCTTTGTTTTGAGCCAAAGAGTTCAGGGCCTTTGTTTTGAGCTAAAGAGTTAAGGGCCTTTGTTTTGAGCCAAAGAGTTCAGGGCCTTTGTTTTGAGCTAAAGAGTTAAGGGCCTTTGTTTTGAGCTAAAAAGTTCAGGGCCTTTGTTTTGAGCTAAAGAGTTCAGGGCCTTTGTTTTGAGCCAAAGAGTTCAGGGCCTTTGTTTTGAGCTAAAGAGTTAAGGGCCTTTGTTTTTTGCTAGAGTTCAGGGCCTTTGTATTTTTCTTAAAAGGTCTGCTCCCTTGTTTTGACCTAAAGATTTCCTTTAAAATACTATGTTGTAAGAGTAAGTTGGGTTTTTTAACTGGAGTTTTACATACATTGTTTTTCATGTTTAGAAATGGACTTTTAAATTGTTGATAACTAACCAGACTGCTACCTTCTGTCCTACAGCTTGAATCCTGCTCCTTGTGGGGGCTTCGTACATTGGTCTTCATCAACCCAAAGCACAGAAATAAGATCAGCCACATACAGAAAACATCTGTCAGGACTGGGATAGCTAATGCACTGGGTATTTATTATTTTATAAACCAATTCTCACATATGGATTGTCTTCCCCCTTTTTTTTTTACTATGTCTCTGTTGTTTCTTCTAGCTCTGACTTATTGTGGCCAACGTATTTGAGTAGTGTTCTTCTTGTTGGCTGTCCTTGTATGTACATCTCTTCTTTGTGTTTTGTTACTTTAATGTTTGTGATTTGTTTTCTATTGCTCTTTACCTGCTTTCTGCCTGTTTTTAATTTGTTTCCAAACTTACTTCCCTTGCCACAACTTGTCATGCTCTCCCCTTTGTGTGACTCATCTTTTTGAGAAATTTTGTTTTTACAAATATGTTATAGTATTTCTTACATGCCAACTATCCCTACGTACGTTCTTGTTGCAGGTAATAAAGGTGCAGTGGCCATATCGTTTCTACTTAGTGGCACCTCATTCTGCTTCATCAACGCACACTTGGCTTCTGGTGAAGAGAGACTGGAGAGGTAGGTCCCCGCCAAAACATCCTCAACAACTCATCATAAAGTTCTATGATAAACAATCTTACCAACTCGAACTCTAGTTTAAGGGAAATTTTGTATGCTTAAATTTCCACCATGTACTAACCCCGAATGGAGTGGCTTAGCAGTTGAGAGCTGGACTGCTAACCCGTAAGTCTCGAGTTCGAATCCGGGTTCAAGTCAGTAGACTGTCCCTGGGTCCACCCAGCTCTGACGGGTACCTAACTCACATTAGGGAACGTAAAGGCGGCTGGGCATAGTTCTGACTACGTTATCCCTTCGTAAGCCGAGGTCACAGAAACAAGTGAACTCTACTTCACTTGCCACATAGACCGTCAGGTTTGAAAGAGAACATTGCTTTTTTATATTTATAATATTTATACACATTTTTTTTTAAGTGAAACATATTTTTGAAAGTTTTTATTGTCTGTTGAAGAATGAACTTGAAGTGTGTACCAAGTTTGGTTGTAAAAAAAACAAATTTGGAATGTTTTCCCGTGTGTTGCAGGAGGAACGCCAACTTCCGCGACATCCTGAAAAACTTGAACATGGGTCCAAAAAATCTGGAGAATTATGACATCACACACAAGTTCCACCACGTTTTTTTCTTTGGGGACTTGAACTACAGGGTGACTGAGCCAGTAGAGGTGAGAGGGTTGTGTGGTCACTAATTAGTCATTAACTACGAGGTCTCTAATTACTTCATCGCTGATAAGCATTACTTTGTTATCATGTCATAAATAACTAACGCCGAATTATTTGGTGACTTACGTCATGTTTACTGACTAGACAGACATTATTTACTTTGCCATTAGCTACATCATTGCTAAAAAGTGATTAATGACATGTGATTAATTAAATGGTCATCACTAACATGATAATTAACTAAAGTTGTTAAGTCACTTATTGTGCTTTATCTGATAGTTACAAACAATGATTATTATTTACTTAAATCAATTTTTAAAATTCAGAGTCCCAAAGATACCTTAAAAATGAGTTTATGATAAATTCTACAGTACTTTCTAAATCCCACCTCCATTGCTGTCTTGTCTGACTTCTACTATACATTCGATACCCCACCTCCATTGCTGTCTTGTCTGACTTCTACTATACTTTCGATACCCCACCTCCATTGCTGACTTTTACTATACATTTCAAATCACACCTCCATTGCTGACTTTTACTATACATTTCAAATCCCACCTCCATTGCTGCCTTGTCTGACAAGTTTCTTTGATCTTGTAGTTGGTGCTACAAAAACTAGACAAAAGGGAAATCACTCCAGTGTTGGAGCAGGACCAGCTGAGGAGATGCCAGTTTGAGAAAAAAGCTTTCTTTGGGTTCAGTAAGTTCACATTTTTTACATGAGAAGAAAGCTTTCTTTGGGTTCAGTAAGTTCATATTTTTTTACACAAGTTGACTTCACTTCATTTAAAATATTACTGTTTATAACTAGGTCAGATAATAAAATTTTGTGTTATTAATAACGAGCCGACCCGCGGCATATCATACGCCGCTATTTAGTTGTTTTTTCTACTTTTCAGTAATTCATAATTTGTGAATTCGACAGTACCAATGCTGCCTCTGAAAATAATTGCTTTAAAACACTAACCCCCCCCCCTTTCCCCTAACCCCGACCCTACACTCCCCCCCCCCCCCCCCCATCCCCCGTGAAAGCAGCCTCCTCTTAGTTACCTCCTGTAAGTTTAAAATAGTTTCATACTAAATTATCTGCCCCTAATAGCCGTCACTAAACCCAGCTCTACGATTTGTAAACATTTATTTAGCGTGACCACAACTCACCAGACAATGTGGGGGTGGTAGTGATAGTGATAGAGAGAAAGAGAGGGGACTGTAAGGAGGCGCTTGCAGCTTGTTTTCTAACGGCTCCCAGAAGAGAATTATATATATAGATAGAAGATGTTAAATAAAAATTTTAATAAAAATTTTTTTTGCAATAACACTACTTAAAACTACTTATTTCTGTTTTGATGTTGAAACTACATATCCAGCCATGTTGATCTACAATTCTACATTTTGTAAAATGGAATTTTTTTTCCCCTTTAGATGAGTCTGAGATTTTGTTTATGCCGACCTATCGCCTTGAGAGACAGACCCCAGGCTACAAGTACGACTGGAAGAAAATTAAAACCACTACGGTAATCTACATTCATTCCAACTAAAATTTGTTTTTGTAATAAAATTGAAAAGTTTGTATTAATTATAACCTACTAAAAACATTTGTAAGATTAAAAACGTAACATTATTTATGTTGCCAGGAAAGGATAAATGTTCCATCCTGGTGTGACCGGATCCTGTGGCACTCGTTCCCTGGAACTTTCATTGAAAACATCGCATATGGTGAGCAGGGGAACTTGGTGGAGTTTTGATTATTTTTTTTTAAGAATAAACAAAAATATTTATACTAATTTCATTATAATATTTCAAACAGATTTCTATTTATTTATTTTTTACCACAACTTGTTAAAGATATATTTCTAAGAACATCAACTAATAAACTATTGCAGGGGTCTCCAAACTTTTTAATCAGAGGGCCGCATAAAGTATCAAATATCAGTTCGGGGGGCCAGAGTTTCTTCCAGGCATTTCTTTGGGGTGGCAGAGCACACCCCCCCCCCCCTGAAGAACGTCTACACTTTCTTTCCCCCCCCCCCCCCCACGACGAAATATAATTTATGTAGATATACATACACATTTCAAGTGTCCCCCTCCCGGAGAAAATACAGGAGCATAATACCGTGCAGGAACATTGGTTGTAGAATATTTAAATATTTTTTCTCATTCACTTGTCCGACCAAGCCTTTCTTTTTGCCACGCATGTACTTTCCTCCATCAACATTCAGTTAACTGAGGTTAGTCCAGTCCAAGTTATAATCGTCAAATGTTTTTTTAACTCATTGAATATCGTCTCCGACAACAGTGATATACATATTATGTAGGGAAGACAGCTCTTGTGTTAAGGTTCATGTTTCATCCGCACCTCTAATGAATATAAACAGTTAAGAGGTAGAACAGCTGTCTAGCGACTCATCCATTGCAATTTAAAAAATAGTGAAACATGCTTGTATTTTTCGCTATTTGAGTCACAATGTTTTTACCAATGTCTGCAACACGGTGGGCAATTGTATTAGCACCAAAAGCTACATTTTCAAGTTGTTTTGAATTTTCTGGGCATAGTTCCTCAGCCACCTCCAACAAACTTTTTTTTCCGTGGACAAAAAGATATCCGCGGGCCGGATGAGAGGACTTTGCAGGCGGTAGTTTGGAGACCCCTGAACTATTGTAACATTAATATTGGAAATAACTCAGTGTGACATTCATATGGGAAATAACTCAGTGTGACATTCATATGTGATATAATTCTGCAGGTTCTGTAGACAACCTGCTGAACAGTGATCACCGCCCAGTGTTTGGGTCCTTCACTGTCGGCATCTCCTCCCCTTTCATCCAGAACAGGGCGTCCCTACAAGACAACCTGAATGTCAAGTTCATCTTCAAAAATATTGAGGCTCAGGTAGGTTTCAAGCACTTCACTAATTCTTTCATTATTTTGTATTCAAACCCTGTAAAATATTTGTCTCACATGCAGTAATGATATGGTACTCTTCTTTTAATTATTAAGTTGCTTTATAGGTATGAATATCTACCTTTAACTAGATATTTAATGGTCACAATTTAATTTGATTTTGTTTTTCACATAAAAATTCTTCAATCTTTCAAACTTTTTTTTGTTTTGGGAGTTCCAAAAGTTTTCTCCCATTTATAACTTTATTTAAGAAACAGTATATTTTTAAAAATAATTATTCCATTTATCTCTTTAATTAAGAAACAGCATGTATTTTGTTGTTTTTTTAGGACAAAAAAGGAAGAAAGCATGTTTATATATGTTAGACTTACGGTTGTTGATATAGGTGTTGGAGAGGGGGGGGGGGGGGTAGAACTTAGACATCATTTTATTTCAGTGTCATTTTTAGAGTTTAACAAGTCATTTGTAATGAAGGATGGTGGTATCTAAGTAATCAGTACATTTTTTGTTGAAATATCATTCTTTTTAATGTAATGAAAAGATGATAAATATTTTTAAAATGTAAAAAAAAAATCATGTGATTTGTATTCTCTATGCACTTTTATTATGTTGTAGATCTATGTGTAACATGTGTATTTCAGATCAAAACTAGCACAAAACAGTTCTATTTCTTGGAGTTCTCATCTGCATGTTTACCAGGTAGAGTTGCTATTGTCTTTAATCAATTATTAATTAATGATTTATTTCCTCAACTATTTTTTTTTACATTTTCATCTTTTACTTTTTTTTTGAGTTGAGGATAAAATGTATGTTTGCCTCCCTTTGTTGCATGGTTAAACTGAATGTTATAGTGATCTCCCTTTGGTTGGTTTTTGTTTTAAGTGCATGAAAGATGTTGGTTGTTGTGACTTGTAAACCTCAGCAGTCAGGGAAAAAAAGAGAAAAGCAGTTCATAGTTTAAAGGTCAACTTATAATACATTTGTTTCATTTATTTAGCCAGTCGTATAAAACGTTTCTTTTATTTTTTTAGCCAATCGTGGTCAGGGTAAGAAGTAGATATTTTTACCCACAATTCTCACAGAATAGAAAAGTTACTTTGTTCAAATAACTTGCTACCAGCATTTAAATCTTTAATCCAAGAGTTGCAACAAAAAAAATGTGTGCATGGTTCTAGGGTCATACCTGTTTGTTTATTCACTGTTTGAAAACAGAAACATCCTACAAGCATTTAAATCTTTAACTTAAGAGAGTTCCAAAAATCAGTGCATGGTTTTACAGGAGCACATGTTTCTTGTAGAGTTAATGTTTGTTTATTCACTGTCTGAAATCTGCAAGCTTTTCTTTACTGGCCAACACTTTTCAACTCTTGATGTTTAAAATCTTTTCTTGTTAACTAACTATAACTAATTCCTAAAACTATTTTTTTCTTATATGGCCTAATTATTTTTTAAAATGTTTTATTCAAATACAGTTTTATCACATTAAAATAAATGGCTTTCACCCTTAGAAACCACAGTCACATAAAAAAAAAAACACTGTAGAGAAATTGTTTCTGATAATGATAAGCCTGCTGAATGACCTAAATATATATGACCTTTAATATTCATCTACCCCAGCAGACCCCTTTACCTGCTTATAACCCACCCTTGCTCCCACCTCAACCCCTTTCTCTCCTCCTACCCCCCTGTGATCCACCCCTACTCTCACCTAACCCCTTCCTTTTAACCCAGCCCTTACCCTTGCCCCCACCCCCTCCTTTTACCCCAGCCCCTACCCTTGCCCCCACCCCCTCCTTTTACCCCAGCCCCTACCCTTGCCCCACCCCCTCCTTTTACCCCAGCCCCTACCCTTGCCCCCACCCCCTACTCTTGCCTGCACCCCCACTCTCACCCCACCACTCACCTACCCCCTACTCTGATCCCTACTCTCAGCCCCTCCCCCCACTCACCCCCTCCCCACCTTTTACCCTACCCTTGCACCCTCCCCATCCTTTTACCCCAGCCCCTACCCTTGCCCCACCCCCTCCTTTTACCCCAGCCCCTACCCTTGCCCCCACCCCCTACTCTTGCCTGCACCCCCACTCTCACCCCACCACTCACCTACCCCCTACTCTGATCCCTACTCTCAGCCCCTCCCCCCACTCACCCCCTCCCCACCTTTTACCCTACCCTTGCACCCTCCCCATCCTTTTACCCCACCCCCTACTCTCACCCCACCCCCTGCCAAAACTTTCAGGCAATCAATGCCTAAAACCAATTAGTTATTAGTTTCCACATTACACTAATTTAAGAGGTTAGAAACTGTTAGGACTCCAAGACCAGTATCTTAAGTGTAAATCTAAGGATCATTCCCCCTCCCCCACTGAGCAGTTGATTAACTTCCATAATGTCTGACTGTGTCTGCATTTCACCAGCCCACACTGCACTATTAAGTCAACATTCACTCTGTTTGAAGTCCACACTAGCCCACACTGCACCATTGAGTCAACATTCACTCTGTTTGAAGTCCACACTAGCCCACACCAGCCTACCACAGCTCACACCAGCCCACATTGCACCATTGAGTCAACATTCACTTTGTTTGAAGCCCACACCAGCCCACACTGCACCATTGAGTCAACATTCACTGTGTTTGAAGCCCACACCAGCCCACACTGCACCATTGAGTCAACATTCACTCTGTTTGAAGCCCACCCTAGCCCACACCAGCCCACCCTAGCCCACACTGCACCATTGAGTCAACATTCACTTTGTTTGAAGCCCACCCTAGCCCACACCAGCCTACCCTAGCCCACCCCAGCCCACACTGCACCATTGAGTCAACATTTACTGTTTGCAGCCTACCCTCAAGATCTGCTGAATTAGTTTCCACAAATATCAAAGAACCAGCATTCTCCCTAACACAAACACATTGTTGTTGAATGATTTAAAATTTTTCTTTGGTTATATATCTCAACTAGTCTTATTCTTAAAGTATCATATACTTATATCTCAACATATGTGTATGTGTACATATATCTGCCTTACTTTTTTCTTGACTTAGTAATCACTCTGCAACATGCCAAAAGGCAAGTTGACCATTCACTCATGTTTAAGATAGTTGTGTAAAATTTACAGCTTATTTCAAATCTCTTCTGAAATTTCTTATAATACTTTCTTCTGCTTTATAAACTAGAAAAGTTTGTTTAATAATTAGAATACCTTTTGGTTTCTTTTTAATTTACAATTTTAGAATCACTAGGCAATTTTAGCCTGCCAGATTTTTATTGCTTTTTGGCTTTTTGTTTATTTATCTAAATTAATTGTTGAAGCTTAATGTTACAGTATTTTTTTAAGAAAATAAAAACATTGAAATTGAAAATAAAAATGTCTCTATTTGTTAAATTACAAAAGATTTTTTGTTTATTGTAGGTTTTATTATTTATTTTTAACTTTTTTTTTTGTTTTGGCATAAGGTTAGATAAAACTCTCACTACAAACCACTGAAACAGTAGACTTTAAGTCTTATGCAGATTTTTATTTCATTTTTTTAAGTGTTTTTTTTTTTAATTTTAAATAAAACAAGAAAAAAATCTTGAACCTGAATGATATTTAAAAAATAAATATATCTGCAATTTAATTCTTCTGTTTTTCAAAAGCTGAACTACTCAATGTTTCAGATATAATTTGCTGCGAGTCTAACAAAAGATTTGGAGAAAGTCAAAAATTAGGATTTACAAACAACCCAGTGTGGACAGCAGAACAACTTCCTCAGGTTGATTTTCTTGAAACAATTTTAGTGTAAAATACAAATTTTTATCCAGACATTAGATGCAGTCGGTGTGTTCGTTTCCTTTAAAAATTTGTTTTGTTCCATGTATAAAACAAGTCAACAATTTGAAATAAATTTTTTTGTCCTGCCTTGTGCTGCAGCTGCGTCCTCTGTTTGGTGACGTGGATTACCTGGAGGACCAGCACATCCTGATAGCTGTCAAAGGTGCAGGGGAGGACCACGAGTCTTACGGTAGGTTGTCATTACGTAACTAGTTCAACTTCCTGCTGGGGGGGGGGGGAACCACGAGTCTTATGGTAGGTTGTCATTACGTGACCTAACTCTAGCATTTCTAGTTCAACTTTCTGCTAGGGGGGGGGAGGTGACCACGAGTCTTACGGTAGGTTGTCATTACGTGACTAGTTCAACTTTCTGCTGGGGGGGGGGGGGGAGGTGACCACGAGTCTTACGGTAGGTTGTCAATACGTGACCTAACTCTAGCATTTTTAATTCAACTTTCTACTGGGAGGGAGGGAGGGAGATTACCATGAATGAGTCTTGCAGTATGTTCTCTTTACAAGCTCATATTTGTTTTAGCTGGTTCAAAAAGTCAACGGCCAACTGTCATTCTCTTGGTGGTTCTCATTTCACACAGCTCTATTCAGTACCCAGCATACACTGTAGGGGGAGGGGGACATTCTAATAAGGTCATTGGGCTGGTTTTTTTGCATCTTCTTTCCACATTCAGTACCTGGCACACATTGGACCAAACACTGTAATAAGATCCCTGGTCAAGTGTTGTGGCACACATTGGACCAAACACTGTAATAAGATCCCTGGTCAAGTGTTGTGGTACACATGGGACCAAACACTGTAATAAGATCCCTGGTCAAGTTTTGTGGTACACATGGGACCAAACACTGTAATAAGATCCCTGGTCAAGTGTTGTGGTATACATGAATGATTAGTGATCAATTACCTGTAGTGTTTACCTTTTGTTTTCCCCACCCTACCAGGTGAGTGTGTGCTGTCCCTCAAGGACATGTTCACTGGAGAGCCGTGCTATTTCGAGGCAACTATGACACACTATGGGGAGGAGACTGGGAAGCTGAAGTAAATAAAAAAAATGTTTTGTCCACTAAATATTTTGTTTTAAAATTTATAAAATTAATTTTCTCTTGTGAAGATAATTTTTTTCTTGAATCTTTTGTGCATTCTTTATACACTTAGCATTTTAAACAATGTTAACCTTTTTATTTATTTTACAGAGGAGAATGGTACATATCATCTAATGCAACAGGCGGTCTGGTGTCAAAATCAAGCAGAAAAACTTATGGTATGAGTTGTGTCCCTTAACACTCTGTTATTTCCCTTGAAGAGAAATCCTAATTGCCTGCAAAATTTGAATATCTTCCTTTTTTTACATGATTGAAAAGAATTATTTCTGTTGTAATTTTAAATTTATTCTGAATGTGTTTCAGAAATCGTTGCCTTGGATACGGAGTACCATGACCCTGAGGAGTTCCTGTCCCTGTCCCCGCCAGTTGACGCCTCTCACACCAACATGTTCCCTCTCTCCGTGGCGTCCCAGGTCTCCCCCTCCGCCACCTTCCTCCTCCACCCAGCGGAGGACGACCCGCTGGCTGGCGTCCCTGCGCACTACGTCAACCACAACATCATCCGCCGCGCGCCCTCTGACCCTGTCCCTGACACACCTGACGAGAGCACTAACGACCCCCCACCCCTTCCAAACAAACGAAGCAAGACCCCTCACATGGGTCAGTTCAGTCTCCAAAAACCTGCAGATGCGTCACGCTCTGGTGAACAGAGCGCCGGCGACACAGCTTCCGGGATAGATTTCAATAGCGCCATCATGCGACAAAAATCTAACGGAACTGCTGTCACGCCTCTGTACCCTACACACTTGTTACCCAAGAAAGGGGAGGCGTCCCCGCCAGCTTCTGCAAGGCCAAAGGTCAAATCTGTGATGTACCCCCTACCTGGGTTCAAGAACTTGCCAAAAAAAACAGACTCGGATTTGCCTCGGAACTCTCCGCTAGTCTGGCAGGCAAGGATTGATGGCGACGAGTTCTTTCCACCTGTGACCTCACCAAAGCCTAAAATAGTTCCTTCGGCGCCCCCTCTTCCTGAGAGTGAGGTAAGATGTTACTTGTAGCTAAAGTTATGTCAAAATGGTACTCACACCTAGGGGAATAAATAAAAAATGTTTTGTTTCCTTTTTTTTTTATTTTTTTTAATTTGAGTGTGTTAAATGTTATTCCAATCTGTTTGTCATGTATTACTGGTGAAGGGTAGGTATGGAAGGTAGTTACTGTGTTGGATAGCTGGTAAAATAAATTAGGGGATGACAACTAGTCTTTAAAGTGATATTAATGCAGCATTGTTTCAAACTGATAGTCAATATTGAATATTACACACATAACATTATGGTCCGTTCTTACTAAATTTTGGTTTAGTTAAGTTTTTAAAGCTTCAGCATCTTACCTTTTTTTTTACATGTGTGCCCCCCCCCCCCTTCTGGGCAACCATTCCCCATCTCCCTCTCTTGTTACAAGTTACCCCAGACATACCCTCCCTGTAACTGCTCTCTTCCCATTGATATACGTTGCGTCAACTTTCTACCCCCCACAGGACATTAACCCCTCCCAACTTTCTACCCCCCACAGGACATTAACCCCTCCCAACTTTCTACCCCCCACAGGACATTTACCCCTCCCAACTTTCTATCCCACAGGACATTTAACACTCGTAACTTTCTATCCCACAGGACATTTACCCCTCCCAACTTTCTATCCCACAGGACATCTACCCCTCCATCGCCATCAGACCGTACGAGGAGCTGAAGAAACCAACGACTGTCCAGGACTGGCTGAAGGGTCTGGGACTGACAGAATACACGGCCACGTTTCTCCGCAACGGCTGGGACTCCATGGGGGCGCTTGTCCAGCTCAACGCTGCCAGCATCATGAAGATGGGCATCCGGGATGGGGAGCACAGGCTTAGGATATTGAACAGTGTGCGAGAGTTGAAAGGTCAATCTACGTGACTAGAGGTAACACAAGGTCAGTCGATGTGACCTTGAAAGTTCATGTCATCCAGAAGTTGCGGAGTTCATGTTGCCCAGCTGGCGTTTGTTGAGCGTAATAAAATATCTTTTATTCCATATTCCTATCTGATAATCATTGAAGTGAATCACTACTAGCACAGTGAGACAAGTATCACTGATACAAGTGCTCAGTGAGACTGGTATCCCAGCTACAAAAGTTACTACAGTAAAACCTGTCTGAACTTTGTTGAACCAGAATCATCTTTTACTTTATTTTTTTCTGTGGATTTATTTTGACAATGCTAAACACTCAAATCAAAAGAGTTATGTTTTTTTGGAAGTGATCTCCCTTTAACTGAGCTCCAACAGACAGATTTACTTTAAATAAGAAGCTGTGTTGGAGAGTGTGGATGTGACACTGTTTCAGTGCATGGTGTGGTCCAGCTAACTGCACTGACCTCTCCCTCACTAGCAGCACCTGGATACACTGAGTTCCAGCGTTGGCCTAAAGCAATGTGTCCTGTGAAATTATGGGAGAAAATGGCGGTCAAGATAAAACACATACTTGCCCAAATCATCAGTGTTGGTTTATTTCCGACAGCCATTAAGATAACTTTGCTGTGAATGTTTCTGATATGATGAAGCTCATGTCACAGGCTTCTTTTATCATGCTGTATGGACTGACCACATGATATGAAGTGACCATAATATTCCAAAGTTTTCAATCAAGCCTACCTTAAAGCTACAGTGTAGATTTCTTATGCTTGATTAAATTATCACAGTTTAGGACACACTATGTGCAGAACCTCTTGATTCAAATAGGACCAAGATCTTCCAAAATCTTCTGCCGAGAATTATGGGTGTACATATTTTTAAAATTTATTGGAAATTGTTCATTTGGAAATTGTTCATTTTATTTGTAAAACTTTTTTTTATAAATAATTTAGCGCTTAAATTTAAATCCTAGGTTTTTTAAGCAATGACCTTGAACTGAATTTTGATAAATTGACCTTTACCTTGCAATGAGTGTGTTAACACCATCACTGTTGTAGATGCTGGTGTATCTACAAATTGTCTTCATTTGAGCTTGTTTGTTTACTATTCAATATTTTGAGCGCCATATTTTTTTAAACTGCAGCAGTAACTTGTGCCAGATTTTTCTCCCAAAAATACTTTACACTTTTTATGCATAATTAAATCATTTGTTTGTTTTTTAACTTAATGTAACATGCATAATAAGCCATTTCAAAATCCGACATGTTTTTAATATTGCTGGTGAATTGTTTTTAAAAAAATAATGAAAAAGAAAATTTTAGTTAATCAGCGTGTACAGTAAGCTGCCCTGTGATTTTTAAACCAAAATTTCTGTTACACTGCATCTGTTTTTATTTTTAAAATTTGCCAGATTGTCCAAAATTCAGCTGATAATGTTGCAAGCAATATCATCCATCTTATCCACTTAATTTCTTAACTTGCTTATATTCCTCATACACAATATTTGCACAGAATGACAGTTAATAAGTTTGTGCCAAAGTTTGTACATTTTCAATCTCTTCAAAATATTTTTTGCCAAATTTTTCTTTGTATTAGCCAGTTTAATTTTTTTTTATAACTGTGATATATTAAAATTTGTTCAATGTAATTAGAAATTAATTTTTTTTTTTATTTATCATTTTAATATTTATTTCACTATAATTTTTTTTTAAATACACTGCAAGCTTAACAATTTAACATACTTCATGAATGTTCATGAGTTCAAAGAAATGTTTCTGCATCTTTGTTTTCTTGCTTGCCATGGTCTCATATTCTACAATCAGACTTTATGTAGTCACTTATTCCATCTTTGCTTCTCAGGAAAAATTAGGGAAAAAATGTAACTTTTTTTTTCACTATGCATTCCACTAAAAATGTAACGTAAGCAAAAAAAATCTACTGACAACTGGCAATCTACAAATAAATCAATCTTTCACATTACTTAAGGCTACTGGTGAAGTTTTTAGTTGCAATAGCTCATATTTATGGGAATGTGGCTTTTCTTCCTTGTATTTTTTTTTTTTTACTTATACAAAGTTTGCTATGAATGTTGACAGAACTCTGGGATTGTCTATGAATAACATCACCTTTTAATGCCTCTTTACACACTTAGTCACATCACAAACAAAAACTCAACTTATTCCCGACACCATTTATGGACACTTTGATAACCTGTTACAAAAACCAAATCACCTGCAGTGTTCCATGTCAATCATTTTTAAACTCCTGCGGCACTGTTACCTTTGTAACATTTAAATGTTGTCTTGTAAATAAATAAAGTGATGCTTTTTGTAATGTTTGATGGGAGTATTATTGTTGAACATGTTCTGCTACATTTTTTGTTCCAGTAAATATTTTACAAACTGTTATTAGTTTTACTATTTGTTAAAAAGATTGGTGTAGTAAAGAAATAGGAAAGCTGTGAAAGCATGATCAACCAGACTTAATGAAAATATTTTAGAATTTAATATCATGAAAATAATCCAACCATTTTGATAACAAAAAAAAGTATATTGCTTTACATTTCAAATTTGAGCAATGAACAATGCATTTACACTTTTATCACACTGCACCACCACTCTCCGCACACATCTTGATGAATAAGAATGCAACAAAAAGAAATGATATTAAATTAAACATGTGAACATTGTTCTGACAATGTGATTCCCCTGGTCCCAATGTTGACCCCCACACAGCAAGTGACAGTAAAAATAAAGATTTGTGTAATGTACAGTTTTTACAGTTGTACACAATAGTGGACACTAAATGACCTACACAGCCCTGAGTTGTGTGGACAAGAATAAAAAAAATATGACATCTGTGTCAGTAATATGACATCTGATGTTAGCTGACACATATTTGAGGCCTCACATTGATGCATACATGAATTTCACACAAAAAATTGCATACAATTTGTTTCATTTGCATATGCATTAAAATACAAAGAAAAACGTTAGGAAAAATTTGATTATGCATAAGTTGATATAAATGTTTACTTTATAAATATAAATATCACCAATATTATGATGATCAGGAATTGTACACACCTTAAATTGACTGCATCCAATCACAATCTAGATCAATCACAATAAAGACAATATCACAATTGAGAGACCCATTACAAATGTGATCATTTCTCAAGTTTATTCCCCACATTTGGATTTGTTCATATGAACTCTCCCCTACACATATTCCAAGCCACACCAATAAAGTTTAATTTTGATTACAAAAGAAAGTTTAACAAAAAAAAACCTTTGTATAAGAATGTAGAAGGATTTCACATAGTCTATACACAGACTGGACTTGAACATTCATGATTATAATACTTGTAACAGAAACTTGTACATAAAAAATTAGGCTTGGGGCTGTAAAAGCCAGTACACTATTTGTGCTGTAGTTTATCAGTTTAAAAAACTGATTTCGTTTGCTACATTTGAGCAAATATTTTAATTTCATTCAATATCTTACCAGGTTTCACCTTAGTATTCAAAATGCCTGGACATTCAGGCATAAGTCCAGGTGTTGTAGATGGTTTGCTTTAGTCCATCTTTCATTCCCTTAGACACCACAGTAAACATTTGAACTCTGGGGCTGTTGCTTTTTGAATCCTCCAATCTTATCTTCACTTCATGGATTGTATTCCATTTCCACATACATGAGGTACAGCCTAGCCACATCAGGTACAGCCTAGCCACATCAGGTACAGCCTAGCCATACCAGGTACAGTCTAGCCACATCAGGTACAGCCTAGCCACATCAGGTACAGCCTAGCCATACCAGGTACAGTCTAGCCACATCAGGTACAGCCTAGCCACATCAGGTACAGCCTAGCCACATCAGGTACAGCCTAGCCATACCAGGTACAGTCTAGCCACATCAGGTACAGCCTAGCCATACCAGGTACAGCCTAGCCATACCAGGTACAGTCTAGCCACATCAGGTACAGCCTAGCCACATCAGGTACAGCCTAGCCACATCAGGTACAGCCTAGCCATACCAGGTACAGTCTAGCCACATCAGGTACAGCCTAGCCATACCAGGTACAGCCTAGCCATACCAGGTACAGTCTAGCCACATCAGGTACAGCCTAGCCACATCAGGTACAGCCTAGCCACATCAGGTACAGCCTAGCCATACCAGGTACAGCCTAGCCATACCAGGTACAGTCTAGCCACATCAGGTACAGCCTAGCCATAAGAGATAGTCTTTTAGTTCTGTGAGAGGGTGGTCTCTTGCACTCCTTCACTGTTGGCTTCAGATTCCTTCAGTCTTTTCTTCATCAGTTCTAGAGCATCTTCGTAGGAGGGCAGTTCTGAGAGGGTGATGACGGAGGTGGTGGACAGGGTTGACCACGCCCTGTGGAGGCCTGGCACCTGCATGTGCATACCTGGCAGGTGGGGCTGTGTCTCAAGGTCGTAGCTGAAGCTGGCATTGTCATAGCCGCCACCCCCGTGGTGTGTGAATGGGACAGTCCGGTGGCACACACAAGGGCAAGGTTGGGATATGCAAGGGGGTTTGGCCACGGATGGACTAGGAGAAGTGCTGGGGTGATCAGCTTGAGCAGGTTGTTCCATCTCTAGATGGACTGTGTAACTAGTGACGGAGTCTTCCCTGGGAACTTCACTAAGATCAACCTCACACAATGCTGATGACGAAGGCATGGGGTCACTGACTGACCTTGATGGACTAGCTACAGGGGTGGTATTGGGAGAATGCTGGCTTGACGATGTCACGATGACACGGTGTGGCTGTGGGGATGAGATTTTCACCTCACTTTGTGAAGTTGGGGGTCCATCTCTCCTCAACATTTCTGTACTACACATCCCATCTCCTCCTGTTTTAATAACCACAGCAACACTGCATGGCTCCGAGCTACACTTGGAGCAAATAGGGATGTTATTACGTGAGATGGTAAACACTGAGGCCTTGATGTGGCCGGGCTCACCAAACAGGTCGTGATACGATGGTGGAGGTTTGGCCAGGCCGAGAGATGGGTCTTGGCCATCCTGTTCTCTCCTTCTGGCCCGTCTCTCTGCACGTCGCCGCTCTCGTCGTTGTTTGAAGACGTAGGTCCAGAGGAGTCTGGCGAGGAAGATCACGATGGGCACCACAGCAAGGATGATGTAGATGCGGACGTCAAACTGTGGGAACCCACTGTCACTGCTGCTGCCTGACCCTGAGTCTGAAGGAGAGGAGAAAAGTTTTCAGTACTAGAATATAACAAGTGTAGACAACTAGAACAAGTTACTCTTTTAAACCTGGTGGTCAGTGTGGCAGATGAAGTAGAGTTCATCTGTTTCTGTGACTACAGCATATGAAGGGATAGTGTGGTCAGCACTAAGCCCTACCACAGGGGTTCCCAACCCCGTGCCCGCGGGCGCCATGGCGCCCGCCAAACGATTCGTATGTGCCCGCCTCTCACAATTCGACAGAAACATAATTTTTTTCATAAACATTATTGAAAGGTTGAAGGTGATGGAAATCGAAAGTTTGAGGGGGGGGGGGGGGGGGGGGGGGGCTGTGCAAATCGAAAGTTTGAGGGGGGGGGGGGGGGTGCAAATCGAAAGTTTTGTCCCCGGGTGACGGTAAGGGTCGCTACGCCTCTGGAAGGAGTTTGTCGATTTAAAATAGGTGGTGCCCGCCACCCTACCAATATTTTAGAATGTGCTCTAGAGTAAAAAAAGGTTGGGAACCCCTGCCCTACCATATTTACTTTCCCTAACGTAAGACAGGTACCCATATGAGCTGGTTGGACTCTGGACATCCTACGTACTAGAGCCCAGGATCCGAATTCAAGACTTTCTGGTAAGCATCTGTGAGCTTTACCATCCAACTATGCCTCCCAGTAAAGTACTGTAAGTACTGAATATGTACCAAAGTGCTGTGAGTACTAAAAATTTAACAAAGTACTATGAGTATTTAAAACGTACCAAAATACTAGTACAATGTGTATTAACGTTATTACAGTTATTAGTAGGCCAAGATGCATCAAGGGCGTACTAAATGACTTAATACTAATCATAGGAAATACCTTTGGGGTTGTGGACACTAACAGAACTGAGTGGAGGGGGGAGACTATTGTGTAAGAAGGCCAAATTGAAGTAATATAAAAAAGAGATGTATAAAGTAGATCAACGAGAAAACAATAAAGACTGGCATATAAAACAAGCTGCTCACATTTACAGCGGTATCTGATGGCGTAGTCCTTGCACACGGTCCCCGAGGGCTGGTCCACGTTCCTGCAGGACACACCATCCTTGGTGCAGTACATCTGCAGGACGTTGGGGGTGAGGTTCCTGGGCGTGGTCTCGTCAAACACGTAGCCCGTCTCGCTGACCTGGCACTGGCTAGAGATGACGTCATATCCTTTATCGCAGATCTTGTAGCTCTGGTAGATTAGAGGATGGTCTCGTGAGATACAAGTCATTCGGGGCGACGGGGAATGTTACAAATGTCATGTGGTGGGTGAGATACAAGTCAGTCGGGGCCACGGGGAATGTTACAAATGTCATGTGGTGGGTGAGATACAAGTCATTCGGGGCGACGGGGAAATGTTACAAATGTCATGTGGTGGTTGGAATACAAGTCATTCGGGGCGACGGGGAAATGTTACAAATGTCATGTGGTGGGTGAGATACAAGTCAGTCGGGGCCACGGGGAATGTTACAAATGTCATGTGGTGGGTGAGATACAGGTCATTCGGGGCGACGGGGAAATGTTACAAATGTCATGTGGTGGTTGGAATACAAGTCATTCGGGGCGACGGGGAAATGTTACAAATGTCATGTGGTGGGTGAGATACAAGTCATTCGGTGCCACGGGGAATGTTACAGATGGCATGTGGTGGGTGGGAGACAACGTGAAATCGATGGGTTTATGGCGAGTGGTGTGTGGTTCATTAATGTGTGGGTTTATGGCGAGTGGTGTGTGGTTCATTAATGTGTGGGTTTATGGCGACTGGTGTGTGGGTCATTAATGTGTGGGTTTATGGCGAGTGGTGTGTGGGATTAATGGCGAGTGGTGTGTGGGTCATTAATGTGTGGGTTTATGGCGAGTGGTGTGTGGGTCATTAATGTGTGGGTTTATGGCGAGTGGTGTGTGGGATTAATGGCGAGTGGTGTATTGGTTTATGGCGAGTGGTGTGTGGGTCATTAATGTGTGGGTTTATGGCGAGTGGTGTGTGGGATTAATGGCGAGTGGTGTATTGGTTTATGGCGAGTGGTGTGTGGGTCATTAATGTGTGGGTTTATGGCGAGTGGTGTGTGGGTCATTAATGTGTGGGTTTATGGCGAGTGGTGTGTGGGATTAATGGCGAGTGGTGTATTGGTTTATGGCGAGTGGTGTGTGGGTCATTAATGTGTGGGTTTATGGCGAGTGGTGTGTGGGTCATTAATGTGTGGGTTTATGGCGAGTGGTGTGTGGGTCATTAATGTGTGGGTTTATGGCGAGTGGTGTGTGGGTCATTAATGTGTGGGTTTATGGCGAGTGGTGTGTGGGATTAATGGCGAGTGGTGTATTGGTTTATGGCGAGTGGTGTGTGGGTCATTAATGTGTGGGTTTATGGCGAGTGGTGTGTGGGTCATTAATGTGTGGGTTTATGGCGAGTGGTGTGTGGGATTAATGGCGAGTGGTGTGTGGGTTTAGTGGCGAATAATGCTGGGGGTTTTTTTATGACTATTAATGTGTGTTTCTATATGTGGGTTTTATAACAACGAATGTGTGCGATGTTGTCGTAAAAATGAGGGACGGGAAGCCACTGCTGAGATGCAGCTATTACTGTGTGGGATGTGGCTATTACTGTGTGGGATGTATATATTACTGTGTGGGATGTAGCTATTACTGTGTGGGATGCAGCTATTACTGTGTGGGATGTAGCTATTACTGTGTGGGATGTGGCTATTACTGTGTGGGATGTAGCTATTACTGTGTGGGATGTGGCTATTACTGTGTGGGATGCAGCTATTACTGTGTGGGATGTGGCTATTACTGTGTGGGATGTATATATTACTGTGTGGGATGCATCTATTACTGTGTGGGATGTATATATTACTGTGTGGGATGTATATATTACTGTGTGGGATGCGGCTATTACTGTGTGGGATGCAGCTATTACTGTGTGGGATGTGGCTATTACTGTGTGGGATGTAGCTATTACTGTGTGGGATGCAGCTATTACTGTGTGAGATGTGGCTATTACTGTGTGGGATGTAGCTATTACTGTGTGGGATGTAGCTATTACTGTGTGAGATGTGGCTATTACTGTGTGGGATGTAGCTATTACTGTGTGGGATGTAGCTATTACTGTGTGGGATGTAGCTATTACTGTGTGGGATGTAGCTATTACTGTGTGGGATGTAGCTATTACTGTGTGGGATGTGGCTATTACTGTGTGGGATGTGGCTATTACTGTGTGGGATGTAGCTATTACTGTGTGGGATGTAGCTATTACTGTGTGGGATGTAGCTATTACTGTGTGAGATGTGGCTATTACTGTGTGGGATGTAGCTATTACTGTGTGGGATGTAGCTATTACTGTGTGGGATGTAGCTATTACTGTGTGGGATGCAGCTATTACTGTGTGGGATGTAGCTATTACTGTGTGGGATGTATATATTACTGTGTGGGATGTAGCTATTACTGTGTGGGATGTGGTGTTTGACATGAGCGACTGAGAAGATGCCCGGCGACCGCCAAGGTGTCGGTCTGTTGCCAGTAGCAGACTATGACGTGGAGGCCCATTGGAATAAATAATGCATGAAAACGCGAGTGTTTCCTGCACGTGCTAATACAGGCTGGGGTGTACTCACCTTGAGAATGTTCTCGGTGGTCTCCGTGTCGCCCGTGGCCTGAGGAAAGTCCGGGTGGTTGATGTTAAACCAGGACGACCAGGTGTCAGGGTTGCTGGCCATTGCATTGGTTTCTGGGGGAGAAGAAGGGCAAGATTACAACAAGCAACTGGTGTCACTGACTTAGTTTTGTGGGGGAGGAAGTGTAAACAATAAAACAGGATGACATGCACAAGTGGCCATTGGTTGCTGTGGGATGTGAATAATGGGTTAGAAAAATTATTCCACGGAAATATGGCGTAACGACCTAATCTGGCGCCATTGTGAGCCCTCCCCCATTTACATCTAGTTATTCACGCGTGTCATCAGTTGACATTATATCATGTGTCCATGTCGTGATCTCATATAGACACATACAAAATTATTTTTAAAATCATGTAGTAGACAAGTGTACAGAATGCCCACACTAGCTATCATGCGACAACATAAAAAAAATTATCTGGTTTAACTTCCTGAATAACAAAACAAAAACAGAGGAAACTGATACTTCAGCTTATGACGATAACACTGAATGGTGTAGAGAAACCTGATAAGCGTCTTGTAAGTACAGCTCAAAAATTTCTACTGTGACGTATATAACACTGTTTCTTTCGGGCACCTCTTCGTGGGAGGGCACCACGAAATACGTCTACCCCTCCCCACAACGAAATAGAATTTATATAGAAAATGCATACTTTTAACAGTGCCCCCCCCCCCCCACACACACACCACCTGGAGAAAAGTCTGAAAGAAACACTGTATCTAGTAACCCTACCAATACAGCATCATTTATACATCACTTATTTTGGATTAAATATATTCATGTATTTTTGTGATGGTTGAGATAACTGTGCAGATGAAAGTGTGACGCCAACCCTCGAACTACGTCCATTTCGTGCAACCATTTTTAAACCATCAAGGACATCACAAAATAATAAAAGTTGGACCTCCCTCCCCACTTCCATTGTGACGTAATCTATTGACAACAACTCTCCAATCAGCTAACGGGTGAACGACCAATACACCACAAGGTAAATAATGTTAGGTAACATTTCCATCGTTCACCTGGCCGACCTGTATCTTCACGACAAACAGACACGTGACAGGCGAGGGTAGGATCGCCCCTATAGAGCACGCAGTCATGCGTGACGCCAGTCAGGCTATTCAACACCTGACTTGGCAGACGGTTATGTACACCCACGTCAGGGGTAGGGAGGGAAGGGAGGGGTGGTTGTATCCTTGTGTCGAGTGGTTTATTAGGTAGATATTTGAGCTGCTGTAAAAAGACACACTGATGGTCAACACGCCTGTGCTACACACGGCGAAAAGCTCGGTTCAAACAAGTCGTGGGTGTCGGCCTACAGGAAGGTCGTGGATTTCTTATATAGCACTAAGTGCCACTAAGGTTGTAGGGGTGGCTTGGTCCTTTGTTATACTGTTGTAGGGGCAGAGGCGTAGCGAGGGAGGTGACCGGGTGACACCATTTAGGGGGGTGACACCAAGGCAAAATATAGAGAAAAACTTGAGGGGGGGGTGCAAATCGAAAGTTTGAGGGGGGGGGGGGTGTAAATCGAAAATTTGAAAGTTTGTCCCCGGGAAGGGTCGCTACGCCTGTGGGGGGTGACACCATTAAGTGCTACCGCACCGGGTGACACCCGACCTCGCTACGCCCTTGTATAGTGGTAGGGCAGTGTTAAATAGCACTGCCTTTTGTTTGTACTTAATGTTTTTTTTACAATGGTTAGAGGTTGAATGAATATACTGACACTAGTTAGCACTTTGGTATTTAACACAAAAGGCTTTACTACAATGGTTTCAGATATATGTGATGATCGCGTGATGATTATTTATTTAACGACACTCGCGTTGTATCGAAGTGTGCCATTTTTGTTGAGAGAGATTTTATAGAAATATTAAATAATGTGATATGGGGCACGGAAGATAAAAAAAACAACTGTTGTGTTGTATAAGTCGTGCGAGACCTTAACTAGAGTTAGAGATCTAAAAATAGTTTCACGCTTGCAGTGTTTGGAGGGATAACCCCAAAGAGAGAAGCCCTGAAACAAAAATGTAATCTTAGAACAGGAATTCCCTAAAAGCCAGCCTTCAAGTCACGTGTCAGGAAACGAAAAACCAAAAAAAAAAAAAAAAAATCAACGTTATTGTTATAAGGCTTTACGATGAACTGTAAATCGTGTTGTGTTTACACCATCTTTAATCTAAGAAACTTGAAATCCTGTCATGTTTGTTGGTCTAGGAAACTGTAAATCGTGTAGGTCTAGGAAACTGTAAATCGTGTCGTATTTACAACAACTTTGGCCTAGGAAATTGTAAATCGTGTTGCCTTTGTTGGTCTAGGAAACTGTAAATCGTGTCGTGTTTACAAGTCTAAAACTCAGTGCTGCTCTGCTCTGGTATTTAAAAAGAACCCCCTATCTCTAACGGTTGGGCACGCCCTGGGTATAAAACGTAACGTAAAATTTACGACGATTTCTTGATACTGCCATTTTCTTCCCAGCCCCCCCCCCCTAACTTGTTGATTCCGTGTAAATGTTTCTGTGTCGAGTAGACGCCACATTCAGCCATTATCAACTCTAGCTGCAGCTATTGTATCTTCTCGGTTTATGGACAGCCATTTACTTGTCCAAGAACTTGCTTCAGTTATCTTTAAACAAGTACCGACATTTTTAAAGAAATGGTTAACAATGTTCCCTGTCTAAGATAAGTGCCAATGTTCCCTCTCTAAGAAAAGTGCGAATGTTCCATGTCTAAGAAATGTAACAATGTTCCCTGTCTAAGATATGTACCAATGTTCCCTGTCTAAGATATGTATCAATGTTCCCTGTCTAAGATAAGTGCCAATTTTCCCTGTCTAAGATAAGTGCCAATGTTCCCTGTCTAAGATAAGTGACAATGTTCCCTGTCTACGATAATTGACAATGTAAGAAAACCATTTGACTGGACATGAGGTCATGTTAAAATACATTATTACAAGCTGTGTGTACAAATGAATAGGTGGGCTAATTATTAACACGATAAGGTCAAGTTTTACTAAATTTAAAACTGTACAGCTGAAAAAAACCGACTGGTATTAAAACACGACGTAGGTCTTGGCCTTTTTTGTGAATCATAAGACAAGTAGTCAGCTGATTTAGCTAAGCAAACTCCCACATAGTCATAGATCTAGAAAACTAGACCTGGACTTCTTTTGTAGTTTTTTGCCTTATGTAAAGAAAAATGTAAAAACAGTTATACTCTGTTGAAGCCTCCAAAAAACAAAAAAAATTCAATACTTTCATTCTCAGTAGATTATCTAGATCTATCTATTCTAGATCTAGATCTATATCTAGATTCTATATTTTTAGCGGCCTTACTTCTTTCTTATCCTTAAAAAAATAAAACATGTTTAGGCCGATGCATTTTAGAAGTTCAAAGTTCTAAACTCTAAACTGTGTTATCTTCATATGACAGACTGTCTCTAGATCTAGATCTAGATTTAGGCTAATGTATTTGAATACATAAAAGTGTACAAAAAGAAAAATCAGAAACTTTTTAGGCAGAAATTTATTTAGAGAAAATCTATTATTTAGTTTAAAAATAAAAACTTACCATAGGACTATTATAAAATTAATAGGGGCCCTAGATCTAGATCTAGATTCTATATTATATTTAAATTAGAACTTGAGTCCTAGAATCTAAATCTAGACTTATAGATTCTACTCCTAGAATATATGCGGCAATAAATTCTAGATTTTTGATCTAGATGTGATCAATATAAATTCCTATGTTACAGCACAGTTTCCTCGAAAGAAAATACAACACTACAACACTTATTTTTCTCGGTAGATCAAGAACGTACAGTACAGTGTCACACAACACGACTGTAGCAGACGAAATGACTATCCACCAGAGTTACCCGTATCTATCTATTGATAGTAGTCTCCCTTGCACTAACTAATCCCGCAGTTCTCGTCCTATTTATATTTTCTCGAGCCCGTGACGACACGGGAAAGGTGACCTCGCGAGGAAGAGCGCGCGGGGAGCAGAGGTGCGCTTTTTTGTGTGTGACATAACATAATAAATCTTAAAATAATAATGTAGAGATAAGAACATATTTATAGCTTGTTTCAACGATACGATATCTTTCCGGTGTCTTAATTTAGATTCAGCTACCTTACTAACAGTGTTTCTTCCAGACTTTTTTCTCCGGGGGGGCACTTGAAATCTTCGGGGGGGCGGTAAACTTTCTTCGGGGGGGCGGACACTGTTAAAAGTATATATTTTCTATATAAAGTATATACATTTCATTTCGTTCGGGGGGGCGGTAAAAATTTTTCGGGGGGGGCTAAGCCCCCCCCGAAGAGATGCCTGGAAGAAACTCTGCTTACTAAGCAATGTTTAAATTTAAGCGGGAAAAACACTAACTTCCCACATTAAACCATTTTTTAAAATATCTAAGTTTCCATCCCACACACCCCCGTACATTGTCTAGTCTCAGACAGGCATGGCCAGAGGCGTAGCGAGGGGGGGGGGGCCGCACCGGGGTGACACCATTTAGGGGGGGTGACACCATTTAGGGGGGTGACACCGAGGCAAAAAAAAGCAAAATAGAGAAAAATTTGACGGGGGGGGGGGGTGCAAATCGAAAGTTTGAGGGGGGGTGCAAATCGAAAGTTTGAGGGGAGGGGTGCAAATCGAAAGTTTGAGGGGGGGGGTGCAAATCGAAAATTTAAAGTTTGTCCCCGGGAAAGGTCGCCTCTAGGGGGGGGGGGGGGGTGACACCATTAAGTGCCGCACCGGGTGACACCCGACCTCGCTACGCCACTGGGCATGGCGTTGGGGTAGAGTTAAGGTTACTTTGGGAAAATGAGAGGTATGTTAGTGCAGTGGGCCGTTGATCCCAAACTGTAGACGGCGCGCGTGTGACCTTAAATAAATTCTCCATTTCATTAAATTTTCAACAGGTAGCATAACTAATTACTAAAACAAATAGAGTAATACCACTTTAAAATTAGCGACTACATCAACACTTAAGAAAATAGCTCAGTCAACTCACTTTTTAAAGTGTAGCTAACGTTATTTATAAAGTTTTTTC